GTTCGGCGTGTGGGAGCGCCATCAAGGCCCTGTTGGCGCCGAGGCCTCGCGTGAGCCGGCGACTTAGCGCAGGATAGCTGCTGTGGCAGCAGCTGCACTCTGCAGTTGTGTGGCACGAAAGCCGAGGTGGGCTAACTAGCCTGGAATCAGGCCCACCTGATAGGAGGCTAGTTGGCCCGGGTGGGAAGCGCGATCAGGTGGTCAGATGCCCCCAATCCAGATCCGATTCCGTGTTACCGCAGCGGCGGTAAACGGCACATTCCCTTACGACCGTCACCGAAGCGTAGCATACCAGCCTTATAGACAGCTCACGGACAGTTCTATACATCATTTGTATTTTCCATGCGTAGCATCCAGATAGGCACAAAGACATACTGTGTGAGCATGAGTACGGCTTCTACTGCCGCAGACGGCCTGTAAAAGACGCGCCTCGGCCGAGGTCACATTCGAACGCCCTGAGATCGGCCCGCATTGAAAGTTCTCCGCGCATCAAAAGCGCATGAACCGACTATATCCAGCCTGCTTGCTTCCGGCTACACCCTTCCTCCTCCCTTCTCGTCTAGACAGACTCCAAAAGGCGTACATATCGCCCCATTCCCTTCGTTGAACACTTAGACCTGCGACGATGAGTGCAGCGGCCCAACCGACCCAGCGCAAGCGTATGTCGCCGTGCCTGAACCCTAACCTGCTCGTGTGCGCGCGCTGACGCCCCGCAATAGCGCTACCGTTCGTTGCGAACTTCGCAGCGGGTGCCATCGCCGGTATCTCTGAGATTCTGACGTTCTACCCACTTGGTGCGCATCCCATCGAGATTCAGCGTAGGAATGATGCTTAGGCGCCCAGTGTAGATGTCGTATGTCCCCCATACCCGAAGTTGAACTGAGCCCTTCAGCTGAAGATGCTCGCTTGTTGTAGGTCAAGACGCGCATGCAGCTTGCGCACGGCAAAAGCCAGGGCTTCATCCCCACGTTCTCGGCGATCATCAAGGAGGAAGGGTGCGTACCAGCTGCGTTGCTTGGCGAAGAAGCGATCTGACGCTGCCGTTTAGCGCTGGGAGGTTGTACCGCGGTGAGCTCGGGCTGTCTACTAGCGCCTATCGTCCATGCGGACTTAGACTAGCTCTTAGGTCTCGTACCGCCACTGCTGCTGGAGGCTCCTAAGCGTGCGACCAAGTTGTACGTGCTTCTCTTTCCCCGCATCCGTTCTCGGCAAGCGAGCTTCTTCATTTGCCCCAACTCCACCGACCCTCTTGGCCTCTCTTGGCTGGGACCGCTTGCCTCATGCGTTGGTTGATACGTATACGTCGTTGACGACCACTTCTTCTTCACAGCGCCGCCAATGACTTCTGGGGCAAGACGCTGCGCACCGCAACCGGGTCGGAGAAGATGACGCAGAACTTGTCGATCTTGACCGGTTGCATGGCGGGTGCAACCGAGAGCTTCGTCGTCGTCCCGTTCGAGCTTGTCAAGATTAAGCTGCAGGATAAAGCGAGCTCGTTCGCGGGTCCCATGGATGTTGTGCGCAAGACCATTGCGAGGGACGGGTTGCTTGGTCTCTATGTTGGTATGGAGTCGACGTTCTGGAGGCATTGGTGGTGGAATGGAGGATACTTCGGTACCATCTTCCAGGTCAAGGGCATGATGCCCAAGGCTGAGGTGTGTACTGGCCATTGTATGTGCACAGTTGGGTAGGCTGACCATGTTCGTAGACGAAACAGGCGGAGCTCTTCAACAACTTCGTTTCCGGCGGTATTGGTGGCTTCGTTGGCACAGCCATGAATACTCCGTAGGAGCAATACCACTACCCTTCATGAACAGGCGCTCATTTCCGTACAGCTTTGATGTCGTCAAGTCGCGTATTCAGGGTGCCGAGAGGCTTCCCGGCGTTGTCCCGAAGTACAACTGGACCTACCCTGCGTTCGTCGATCATTCCAATACCACATTCGATGCACTGACGACTGTTCAGACTGGTTACCATCGCGCGCGAAGAGGGCTTCGCGGCGCTGTACAAGGGCTTCCTGCCCAAGGTGCTCCGTCTTGCACCGGGTGGTGGTGTGTTGTTGCTCGTTGTCGAGTTCACGCTCGATGTGTTTCGCAAGAGTACGTACCATCATACACAATGACACTAATCATGAGCTGATAGCATCTGTAGCGCTGGGCCCACCGTATCTGTAATGGAAACCCTTCTGAATGTTATACAGTGGTGTCATTGCCTAGATGTAGAACTATATCATTTCACGCCGGGTTCACCATACGAACATCATCTTTGATCTTCCTTGGATGTGCGATGATCGCTGTCCATCTTGTCCTCCAATCCTCCTGCGTACCGCTGAACGCTCGGTCCATGATCTGAGGCATGAAGCTGAAGCCTGACAATACACCATACCTGTTCGCGACGTCGTTCTTGACCATCACTCTCTGTACAAGGTATCCCCATTGCGAATGATGACCCCTGCCTTCTTGACCCATTTCAGTACTGGAGGCTAGTCACGGCTTGACATGGACGTACCCCGCTATCGGTGACCCTTTCCCAATGCCAATCGCTGCCATGCTGCTTCAGGGTACCTGTCTCCATGATGAAGACCTGCATAGCATCATCCCATCGTGTAGCCAATGCGAGCCCGTTCGCGGCGTTGTACTCGAGCTGAGCCCACCACGGCGCATCGTCTGGTACTCGGGTCATCAGGAGGGAAGGGTTAAGGTGGCTGCGCGTAAGCTCGACGCCAGTCATCGTGACTGCTATGTCCAAGTCATCCAATAGGACTACAGCTTTAGTCAGGCTTCGATCACGCCGGCTCCGTGTGTCAACTTACAGAAGACCGGCACGACATACCAACCTGCTTTGATACCTTCCTCCAGCTTGGCATTTCGAGCCAGTCTGGTACTGAATTCTTCGAGCTGCTCCCGACCCTTACGGTCCATGCCGTCCATAGGTACCGGCGCAAGGCCACTTTTGAATTTGAAAACAGAGGCGGGGCTAGCCTTATGGTCTCGGAGAGTGAGGATGAACGCGACATATTCGTTGTTGATGTCCATCGGAGGGAATGCATCGCCGCGCATTCGCTGCAGCATACGACCGATAACAAGCGAACAGGCG